AATGTTTAACTCTTTTTCTGACTTTAAAATTATAGATATTCATGACAAAAATTGGAAATTATAGAATAGAAAGCAAAAGGTAAAAATTATTCAACCATTCTCCTACAACTCAGAAATGACATAGGTTAACTATGAGTGTATTTCCCTTCAATCTTTATTCGTTGGGATACACACACACACACACACACACACACACACACACAACCCTATGATGTATCCTTATTTTGAAATAATTACAGATTCATAGTGTCTTGACTTTTTCAAATAACATTATATCATGAATATTTCCCCTTTCATTAAAAATTCTTTTTTTTTCATTAAAAATTCTTAAATATAACATCTTCTGAGGTTGTAACTTACGGTGTTAGCATTATTTTGAAAAAAGTGTATCATTAGATATTTATCATTAATGTTATGAAAAGAATTTTAGTACATAAAAATTAATTTACATCAATGACCATCTCCTTAGGATAAATTATTTGAAGTGGAATTTTGGGTTAAAAAGGATAGCTATTTTTAAAAAAAATATTTTATTTATTTATTTGACAGAGTGAGATCATAAGTAGGCAGAGAGGCAGGCAGAGAGAGAGAGGTGGAAGCAGGCTTCCAGGACCCTGAGACCATGACCTGAGTGGAAGGAAGGGGCTTAACCCACTGAGCCACCCAGGTCCCCCAGGTACCCCAGAATAGCTATTTTTTTTTTAAGATTTTATTTATTTATTTGACAGACAGAGATCACAAGTAGGCAGAGAGGCAGGCAGAGAGAGAGGAGGAAGCAGGTTCCGATGCAGGGCTCAATCCCAGGACCCTGGGATCATGACCTGAGCCGAAGGCAGAGGCTTTAACCCACTGAGCCACTCAGGCGCCCCCAGAATAGCTATTTTTAAGACTACTGAAATACACTGTCAAACTGCACACAGAAAGAGTATATGGATACAGTCTTTCCAGAAATGTATTTGAATCCCAAGCTTCTCCTCACCCTTGACAGCATAAAGCATTACTTTGTTTAAAAATATTTTGCTAATTCACTGGTCATTTTGCAGTGAGAAGCTGATCATATTTATTGGGAAATACTATTTGTAATGGATTCTAGAATAATTACATAAACTGCAAGAGAAAATCATGCAATTTCAACTTAGTTAGAACAGTTAGGTAAAACAGTTATCATTTTCTGATGATTTTTGGTGGCTCTTAAGCACAACGAAAGGACTGTTAAGCTCTTTACAATAACATTTCTAATACATTTGATTACTACCTTACTTCAATTTTTTCAAAGGAAACCTCCTCATTTAAAGGATCTTTAAGTAGTATGTTTTTTCCTCTTATAAAAAACATTCATCCAGATACTTAAAAAAAGTAAGTTGCCCTTCTTACGATACACAGACCCCTCCCCCCACCTCCACCTCTCCTATATGAAGTTAGGACAGACTTCTTTGAGTTTGTCTTAGAAATTGCCTAACATATGTACTTTAATTTCCTAAAACTAAGCTGAAGAGTGGTAATAAAGTTAATTAAACAGGAGGCAAATGAATATTTAAGAACCAGCATTTATGGAAGCAATTTCAGGCAAATCTGTGATTTAATAACGTTAATCATTGTTCTTTACTTATCAAAAAAAGTTATTGAAAACCTACTATGTGCCAGGCATTTTGCAATATGCTGTTGATAAAAAGTGAAAAGATACAATCCCTGCTCTCCAAAGGATCACAAAGTAATAGGAGTAACAGACTTGCATAATTACAGGGATATAGTAAGTGCCTATAAAAGACACAGGCTCAGTGGGGGCCTGGGAGCTACCTATCTGGCTTGGTAAAGAGGTAATGTGTTAGCAGTGTTCTGGAGGCTGAGTAGGATTGTCAGCTTTAAGGGTGAGAGGATGGCAATGGGGTTCCGCAGACAGAAGGAAGAGCTCATGAACAGGAACCAGAGATAGGCGTCACACTGTTCAAAACACCAGGAATGCTCTGAAAGAATTTAAGCAGGGAAATGACTTGATCATAGTTTGGCTCCAGAAAGATCTGCAAAATGGTCAATGGAAGATATTTTTGTGCACCTGGGGCTCCCGGAGCCATGTTGCAGGATAGGATACAGGGGGACCACTGATAGGGCAAGATATTTCACTGGCCTACATGTGGGGCTCCCAACCTTCAGAGTGATTCAGAATCATCTGGATGACCAGTTATGAAATACAGATCATCAGGCTCCATTCCCAGACTTTCTGATTTGGTAGGTATGGGACGAAGCTTAAGAATGTACATTTCTAAGAAGTTCTCAGATAGCTTGAGGTGACCTCTAGGATCTTGATTTAAGTAACTGAGCAGATGCTGGTGCCATAAAACAGAGGAGGGAAAGCATGAAGCAAGTGCTTCCATACCCAGCAACCTCCCTTTCTTCTTGATGCTGTTCCTCTATTTCTCCAAGATTTGCAAGTTACCTGTTGCCTGTCTCCCCACCCTTCCCTCTGAGCAACATCTCTGTTAGCTTATGATAGACTTCAATGGACAATGTCACTGATTATGAAAATGGGAGTTTGATGCTCCTCTTGGGTGAGACATTTCTACTTTAATCATCCTCCTGAAACCACACCTCCGCTCAATGCACTGACTCTGGTAGGAATTTCAGGTACTACCACCGGCAATCTGCAGGATTCATTCCTGGATAGTGGGGGGGGGGCGCTGTTGCTATCCCTCATTGAACAAATCTTGCCCCGACAATGCACTGAGACAGGCAGATATACATGATAGACGCCGGTTATAATTTCTATATTTTGGACTTTGCCCCAGATTCTTTCCTTATCTTTGCCAAGAAAGAACAACAGTAACTTCTGAAGAAATCTCCAGTTAACTGTAAATAACCTTCTGCTTTAAATAACTTGCTCTAATTATACGATCCGACAGTGATCATAAAATCTTCTCTGAATCAAATTACGCAAATGCATGTATAGACATATACACTCTCACACTGCCCGGGAAAAGTGACTTTACCCCATTTTATAGCAGATTCTTCATCTGTACAATTAGGATTATAAGTTACCTTACAGGGTCTTGGATGGATTAAATGAAATAATGCTCATAAAGTGTCTAGCCCACTGTCCTGTAAAATAAAGATTCTCTTCCCTCCTTTATTTTCTCCTTGATGATTTGTTACCTAGCCACTCTGGTGGGAAGTGACCAAACTTTGGACATCTTTAAAAGACACCACTGTTTGGAATGAGTGAACTCACAGACAGTGGTGACATCATATTGTCCAGGGATTACCCAGTGAGCTCACTGGAGACTTCCACAGGTCATTGTGCAGATCGCATCAGTAGATGCTGAAGACAATTTTTTTTTTGAAGACCATTTTTAAAATTTAAGATTCTATTTATTTATTTGAGCATGCACAAGTGGGGGCAGGGGTTGCAGTAGAGGGAGAGGGAGAAGACTCCCGCCAAGCGAGCAGGGAGCCAGACAGGAAATGGGCATGGACAGGAGCTGGATCCCAGGACCCCAGATCATGATCTGAGCAGAAGCTCAACTGACTGAGCCACATAGGCAGCTGTGAAGACTATTTTAATGTTAACAGTTTCTTCTTTTAAGTTAGATTTTCTTAGGCTTCTCACTTCCTCATTCCCACTCCAATCACAAAAGTTCTTGCATCTTTTAAAATTTTTTTTTTATTTAAAAAAAATTTTTTTTAAGATTTTATTTATTTATTTGACAGAGATGACAAGCAGGCAGAGAGGCAGGCAGAGAGAGAGGGGGGAAGCAGGCTCTCTGCTGAGCAGAGAACCCGATGTGGGGCTCGATCCCAGGACCCTGGGATCATGACCCGAGCCGAAGGCAGAGGCTTTAACCCACTGAGCCACCCAGGCTCCCCTAGTTCTTGCATTTTTTATTTTAATGTGGTCATTTGCTTATGACTTCAAGTACTCCAACCCTTTTCTACAATAGGAAAAAAACAGGATTAAGGATAACCAAAAGAGTTGAGAGGATGTTGTATTCTGGCCTTCACTTTCCCAGCTGTCAGTTCTATAGGTTTTATTTATTTATTTATTTTGTAAAGATTTTGTTTATTTAGAGAGAGGGGGGGATAGCAGGCTCTTGAGCAGGGAGCCTGATGCAGGGCTCTATTCCAGGACCCTGAGATTATGACCTGAGCCAAAGGCAGAGGCTTAACCCACTTAGCCACCCAGGCGCCCCTGTAGGTTTTAAAGAGTATCACAGCTTGTTTTTATACCAGCAATGTTCACACTTCGGGAGCTTTATCCTGGCTCCCATGAACATCTGGTCAGTAGATACTTGTAAGATCTCATTTGAACACTGTACCAGTTATTTATTGAGTATTTACTGTTTAGGAACTCTGCAAAATCTATTTCCTACCTATTCCCATATACATATTCATTCCCACTCTATAACCATTATCCACATCACCTCAGATGTTTTTATAAAAATCCTAGGAGGAGAGATATAGAACACACTTTAATTACCTCTTATCATGAACACTAATAAAGCTATTTGTTTTCCAACCTTGGAAAGGCACCATTCTCCAGATTCTGACGGGTTACATTTCCCATACTTTGAGTAGAGTTCACTGCATAACAAAATTATACTGGATGGGAAATCTTTGTCAGGAAATTTGATTATTTTTAAATTCATTTTATTTGTGTCCCCCGCTGTGTCCCCCCGCCCCCACCACCAGACTCAGTTAAATGGTATATGACAATATCCGGTCAATATTAAAATATATGTCTAGAGGGAATCTCAGATAAATATTGTGTAGGGAAAAAAAAACCAAGCTGAAATCATTTGTAAGAGAAGTGAATAAGTCCTGCTTCACTTCAAGGATGAGAAATTGGACATGGCATCATGGTCAGGCTCAGTGGCTCCACTTCCTGGAAAACCCCTAAAGAAACTTTGCTTTTAAAGTTGATGCTCCCATAGCTTACGTGTTCATCTGTAGTAAGTTTAGCAGATTGGACCTATAAGCGAGGGCTCGGTTCGGCAAGCTCTTGTACTCACCTATGAATCTTATGATCCTTCGGAGTAAGGGGTTCAGGTAACAGCATTCTCCGGTCAGTATGGTTTTCTCCTGGGCAATCAAAGATTCTCTGGTTGACTTTATGAAATACATGGATATCTCACCAATAAAAATCTGGAGAAGGAATGTTTAAGAAATGTCAAGTTGGAGAGAACGGTCTGATAAAGGAGACCAGTGACTTTAAAAAACCAAGAGCAAAACCCAAACTTTTGAGGCTCCAGATCTTTTTAAAAGATGTCATGCTGCAGGGAGTGAGGTTTAATTAGTAGTTTGTATTTACTTCTTCAAAAGAATTAGAGATGGCAATAACTGATCATTTTGGTGAGGTTTCAGGCAATCCTATCAAATTCTAAATTCTTATAAAAACACAAGTTGCCATAATAAATTGTAATAGAATCTATGATAAGGCTCACTCGTGTTGGGACTAAATTCTTTTAACTGAATGGGTGAGCTGCAATGCTGAGAAATGACTGGGACAATTGCATGCCCAACAAGGCATTATAAGTACACATCATGATGAATTATGACTTCATTATGTGGCAATACATTATTTACCTGATAAATCTTTATTTGAACATGTTGGTCTGAGCTATACTTCTCACACTGTGAACTGGCTGACCATCCCTTCTTTATAATTGGCATTTCTCTCATTATCTGGAACTAATATGTATGTAGTACCATATAAATCACAATGCCTTTGTGTAGATTGTTTCTTGATTACACTTCTCGCACTCAGGGTGGTGTATTCCTATTTAAAATAAGGAACCGGTGGGAGGTAAGTTGTCACTAACTTACCATCAGTAAGCTGTCATCAACTTACCACCAACTCATCATCAACTGAGAATCATCAGCGAAGAATAAAGTTAGTAATTATCACCATCTATTGGTAACTAGGTGTCAGGTGCTTCATCATAGTATTTTTCATGCTCAGCAGGTCCCTAGTGTAGGCATTATTGCCCTTGTTTTACTGGTGAGGAAAGTTCAGGACCCCCCAGAGCAGACAGCTGGCATGTGGAATCACTGGGACTGGTTTCCACGACGCCTAAATTCCAAAGTTCACACTTTCCACCACATTATACGCCATTTTTATTTTTCTCATCCCAACTTTGACATTTCCCCAGAAGAATGTGACCTTAGAGATGTTCTTTGCTAGGTACACGCTTATGGTGTTAAGATAAACTTTATCACTGTGTAAGAGTTCTCCCTTTCCTCACATTCTTCCTGTCATTACGGAATATCTGTTTAGATGGATAAAGATGACAACATCTTGAGTGGCACATGGGTTTGGAAATTGAACTGTAGAATTGTATAACTGGTGTCATTTATAGGTATTTTCTGCTTTACGAGCAAGGAAACTGAAGGACTTGGGGACGTGGCCACACATGGTCGGACAATAACAGAGGCATCCCTGAAATGTAGCTGTTACCCATCACCCTGTGTGCCCATGTTATCCTGGTTGCACAAATATAACATCTGTGGTTCAGACGGGTTAAATAATCTGTCCAAGGTCAGGGCTCGTAAGTCACAAACCCCAGCTCTGAAGCCAAGAAGACCTGGTTCCAGAGCCTTCATGTTCATGACTTACACTTTTACTTGGAAGTGACTCAAGAAAAATAGTTGAACAGAGAAGTCAACACAAGTCAAGTGGAGTGTGTTTCAAATACTGAAAAACTCAGATGCTATTAAAATACAGGACAGAATGGTGTTGTGGACATAGAACTGGAGGCCAGTCAGAATGGGACAGGACACTGGCAGGAAGAGACGGGACTCGGGGTCTGACGGGTGCACAATGGCGCGTATCACGCTGGCAGATGCTAAGGATGGCTGTTCAGACCTTGCACTTTTTTGTGCCTAATGTCCCTTGGAATTAACAATGCATTGATGCTCTGCCACGGACAAATATTTCAATAGCTTTCAGAACTCAGCCCGCCCTCTTTTCTAGGAACACCTATCTCTGCTAAAATAAGGTGCCGAGGGGTTTTGTTTGTCCTGACTACACATGATGGAACTGCATTGCCGTTCTTTATCTTAGTGAACAGATGGGGACAAATTCATGCATGCTTGGATACGTGAAACAGTATTTCTTTGAGGGAGCTTTCTCTGATTCCACAGACTAGCTCCAACATTCTTGTTATACATGGATTTCTTACCTTGTGTTTCTCTTTTCTATTTCTTACCAGAAATGGTTACATATTATTATTGTTGTTGTTCTTTGTCATGGGATGTCCTGTCTGTCTTATTCTTGGTTATACTCCCCCAGGGCTTAGCCAAGTGTAAGGTACAAAGTAGTTATTCAATGCTGAATGAACGAAGCATATCAGATTAATGAAGGTCTTTTGGAATACAAATTGAATGAGGTAGAGTATAAAGAACACAAAACGATATCCACCATGTATCCTTCCAGACCCAGTGAAAAGGTCACTACCCTTCCCAAAGCCTTTGCCAGTCCCCTCAGGAAAAGAGAGACCCTGTCTTGTCATTGTCTCCACAACACATTATAAAGATCTCTATCCCGACACCTATCCCATTAACTGTAATGACTGTTTGTATGTCCTTCTTCGTTTGGCTATGTTGTCCTTATAGGAAGGACTTCCTGCCATTCCGTGTATGGTGCTTAGAACAGGGACTGATACATAGTAGGCTCAATCAATATTGGCTGAATGAATAAAAGGTTGAATCTTTAGAGGACCTAGTTAGAGATAGAATCCTCTGACCTTAATTTCTCTGAAGATGAACAATGCAGGAAATTGACAATATGGACAAGAAAGCACACAATTCTCAGTGTATTGCTTAAGATGAAATAAAAACCAAGGGCTAAGTAATCCAAAGTGAATTATCTCTTCAAACTAAATTCACTCGTACACTCTTTTTTGCATCCGATAGTTCTGGAGAGGGAGCACCCACTCTACCAGGAGTTGTTTTAGCGCTGGAGGCAGAGACGTGAACAGATATCTGGTATGTATGAGTGTGTAGGGAGGGCACAGAATACTAAAAAATACATCATGTAATGTCATGAAATGACATATGATTACAAAGCAAATCAGGGAAGTGAGATGGAGGGTGATAACCACATAAGGATAAGCGTGAGAAGAAATGAACGTTGCTTGCCTTAGCCATTTCAGAAGCCGAAAACATTCTTTTTTTTTTTTTTAAAGATTTTATTTATTTATCAGAGAGAGAGAGGGAGAGAGAGCGAGCACAGGCAGACAGAATGGCAGGCAGAGGCAGAGGGAGAAGCAGGCTCCCTGCCAAGCAAGGAGCCCGATGTGGGACTCGATCCCAGGATGCTGGGATCATGACCTGAGCCGAAGGCAGCCGCTTAACCAACTGAGCCACCCAGGCGTCCCCCGAAAACATTCTTATTCTATAGGAAAGAGATGTGCGCATTCTAGAAATTCTCCATTTAGTGAAGCTTTCTACTACTCACACATGAGGGCAAAGAAAGCAAGAAAATGTGTGAGAGAATCTATACACACCCTATTCTTGTTAAAGATACACATGTGCATACACACATGCCCACATAAAAATCTCAACAAAATCACTCCAAGTTGTACCAAACCAAACAAAACTTGTCATGCAAAAGGGCATGGGGCTCAAATAAAATGTCCACAAATCCTAAGACCCTCACATCAAAGGTAATAAGCAATACAAGAATTGTTCCTATTGGCCAACATTATTAAAATTCCAATTAAGGTATAAAGCATAAAAGAAAAAAAAAACAGAGCAAGGACACATACTATACTATATACAATACTGGGAATATGTTAAGTGATAATAAATGTTTACATAAGGAAGAAAGGAAGGAAAGGAAGAAGGAGAGGGAGGAAAGGGGTCATTTTATAACTACCAGGTAGGAAAATATTCCTGGTCTTCAGTTAAGACTGTGATGGACATAAAGGTTGCTGAAGAAGCAGTCCAGGGTTCAGGCTGCAGTGAGTGGGCTTTGTGGATGTTCATTTTTCTGTATTTTACGGACAATACCTAAGGTGTTATTTGTCCATCTACTGGATCCCATAGTCTCATTTAGGGCCTTATTATGCTTGGAGAGAGTGAAAGAATTCTGCTTGATAAGGGAAAAGGTCTCTCTTCTTTCCTGCTAGGCCTCCAGCCCACACTGAACACCATTTTGTACAAGGCGGCAGGTTTATGACTCTGGTTTTGGCAGTGGCTGGGTTCCTCCATCTCTGTCTCTGCCACACACTCTGTCTCTGTCTATCCCTCTGTTCAGAGAGCGACTGGGACATGTGGGACTCTCCAGGTGTTTGGCCCTGGCTGTCTTATTATGGCCTTTCTGACTGCTGGCTGACAAACATCATATCACTCACAGCAAATGAGAATACCCTCTGGTGAGAAATGACCAAGGCCAAGTTCTAGATCTGGCAGTGAATGAACTGCAAATGAATTTCATTGGTGCATTTCTTATCCCCCAGCTATGCTGGCTACAACCCCATGTGACATAAGACATTTAGATAACAGTAAATATACTTTAAGTAATGAGGATAACTGTTCTTTGTTGATAAAATTGTATTTCAGATATATAAACCCAAATGGCAAATAAGTAAATAATCCTGGAATGTAGTTCATCAGTTCGGTGTGTTTTAGTTTATTTATTTTTTAACATTTTATTTATTTATTTGAGAGAAAGTGAGAGCTAGAGAATGAGACAGAGCATGAGCAGTGGGGAGGGGCAGAGAGAGAAGCAGGCTTCCTGCTGAGCAGGGAGGCCAACATGGGGCTCGATCCCATGACCCTGGGATCATGACCTGAGCTGAAGGCAGATGTGTAACTGACTGAGCCACCCAGGCTCCCCACAGTGTGTTACCTTATAGACTTCACTTCTTCAAGGAGATCTGGTAAGTGATAAATAAGTGATATAAATGCAAAATATTTAGGGGACAGTTTTTATATTTCCAAAATAAAAAGTGTTTGCAGGAAATAGTCGTCACTGGAAGATGTATTACAATCTCATATTGTAAGGGGGATTCACTGCATGTTATATGTGGCTGTCACTAAAAAGAGCATCTAGAAACTCTGGAATTTTTGTTTTGAGCTCACACACATGCTAGCTGTGGCTCTGGTACTTGGCAAGATCAAAATCATTGCTGTTTCTTGAA